GAATGTATCATAGCAGGGGGTAGATAATCAAGATTTCCTTTTTTATATTTAATTGTAGGAGTGACAGAGTCGTTAGAAACTTACACTGGTTTGTATAATGTTAACCACTCTTAAGATACTTATTCAAAATATGTACACGCACACACATATTAATAAGAACTACACATTTTCTAAAATATAGTCAGTGATAAGTGCATACCTCATCAGGTCTGTATTGTTGTGATCTTCAATCCTTTAATTTTATTGTTTCAAATACACTTCTTGATTTCTGATCCTGTAGTTGACTCTGTCCATTTTAAAGCTGTTCACATTTGACTAACTAAGGCAGAGTAGCTTCAATTCTAAGTATCCTGTGTAAGAATCTTTCTATTTGTAATGTGACTTCAGATGGAGATAGATTTATATACCTACATAATACATTTTGGTTGATGTCCTTGTTTAATTTGGATTTATATTATGTTTTTAGTAATGGGCAAAAAAGTGTTTTATTGATGTCATAATTATGGAGGAGTCTGTTTTTGAGTTACATGGAGTAAAACAATATTGTGTGACTTACCTTGGTTCTCCCGTCTGTGTCGTGCAGTGGATGAATCTGAACTCCTGACTGTTCCCGATGGATGGAAGGAGTCGCCGTTCTCCAAAGATGACAACCCCCGTGGTCTCCTGGAGGAGAGCAGCTTCGCCACCCTCTTCCCCAAATACAGAGAAGCCTACCTGAGAGAGTGCTGGCCGCTTGTGGAGAAGGCTTTAGGAGAGACTGTAAGTTGGAACACAATGCACTGAAAACAGACGAAACACTCCCTGTTGTACTGGAATAAATATGTTTGCAGGTAATAGGAATTTGTTTTGGCTTACATAGATCCATAAATAAAGTCGGACTCTTATAACTTATTCCCTCTTAAGCTTTTCCATTTGTATTTTGTACTTAATAGATTGTTAAAACATGCCATGTCTTGATTTCTACATTGAAATATATGAAGGCGACAGAGGCTGTGACTGACAGTTTACAAAAGCTGAAGATCAACTAGAAGATAAAGTCAGAGATTTGACTTTTATTTTAATATTCAAGATTTAAATTGTTGGATTTTGTACATCAAGCAAATTTTATGATCATTTGTGCCCAATGGAGGAAACTTCAATGTGCCGATCAAAGCTGCAGCTTCTACTTTCCTGTATTTATTATTTATCATCATTTTGGCCACAAAATATCAATTATTAAAAGACATGTCATATGCAACTGGTAAATACATACATTATAAATAATGAATAAATGTGGCTGTTGCTCTGTAGGCAGGTGCTGGTGACTTGAATTGAATTCTTTTAACCAGTGGAGCTCAGTGGTATTTTAAACATTTTAAGTAAATCTGAATAAAAACATTTGATCTGTCCTTCCTTGTTAGACCAAGTTGTCGGTCTGTGCTGTGTAGTTCAGATATTGATTCTTGACATTATGCCGTTTCTAATCCTGTGTGATGTTGAATATGTTTCTCTCAGCACATAAAAGTGTCTCTGGACCTGATTGAAGGCAGCATGACAGTCAACACCACTAAGAAAACGTTCGACCCGTACGCCATCGTCAGAGCCAGAGACCTCATTAAGCTGCTGGCCAGGAGTGTCCCGTTTGAACAGGTGATGACCACTATGCTCGCACACACCATTTGTCGGGTTGTGGTCTCCTGATTACTGGTGCAGTGTCACGCTCGCACTCCTTTGCTTTGACTTTGGTGTCTGGTTGTTACGTTGCTCTGTCACATCCTCATGCTGTTGTTTTTACTTCCAGGCTGTCCGGATATTACAGGATGACGTGGCGTGTGACATCATCAAAATCGGAACCCTGGTTAGGAACAGAGAGCGGTTTGTGAAGCGAAGACAGAGGCTGATCGGTCCCAAGGGTTCCACTCTAAAAGTGAGGGCCACACCAGGATTCAGCTTTCTGAGATTCACATCTCTCAGGCTGCAGCACGTTTACACTTTCAGCACTTCTACTTTCTTTATTTTGTCTTGACTCAGTAGAATTCAGTCTCTGGGCTCCAGTAACTTAATTCTATCACTTCAAACAACAATAAAATCAAGAACATATCTAATCATGTTGGTGATTCTTCAGACCTTTGAGCAAGGATCCTAAAATAATAGAGAAGGCTGTAAAGTGTTTGCTCAACTGCTACAATAAATATAAAAAAAGATCATTTCATTTATTTAGTAAAGCTTTGGATCCTCTGAGGAGGAAATATTCAAGATTAAAGTGAAAACACTAAGCATTGTCAATTTAAACCCTGTGTGATATGACAGGAAAAACCTCTGAATTGAATTATTGAGCCTCAGTGTTCCCTGGTTTCTTTCTCTCTCTTCTTTGTTTCTTATGCATTTTATCTCAAGGGGGCAGCATTGCCTTTGATAAGCCACAGTATCTGACTGTATTATTGGAACAATGAATCAATGCTTTGCTCTCCTGTTTCTTCCCTCCAGGCGTTAGAGCTGTTAACCAACTGCTATGTGATGGTGCAGGGCAACACGGTGTCGGCCCTGGGGCCTTACAACGGCCTGAAGGAGGTAAGAACCCAGCTCTGACTCCTGCTTGGAGTTGATCTACTTATTGATTGGACCTTCCACTTGTTAGATATTGAAATCAGAGAAATGAGGACTTAGAAGCATTTAAAAAAGTTTTCTCCTTTGTTCAGGTTCGCAAAGTGGTGATGGACACGATGAAGAACATCCACCCCATCTACAACATCAAGGTACGTTCAGGCTGCTGAAGGAAACGTAGCTGGTTAGAGTACTGGTCCTAATTAAGGTACAGGCTGCATTCATGCCCGATGAAGATATTTTCCATCCTTGTTCTCGATGTCGTGATGAAATAAATCTCTCTTGGTTTGTACGCCAAGGTTGGCGCGACCTGGAGCTGAGGGCATGGAAGAGGCACCTGTGTACTTCTGTAGTGACAGCCAGTGTTAATAAACCTGCACACAAGACATATAGTGGCACAGTGCATCACCAGTGTCACATTTTGTCATCCACTCACTCCCCGTCACCTCTTTCCTTATTCTTTTGTTGGCATCATCAGACGCTCATGATCAAGCGGGAGCTGTCCAAAGACCCTGACCTGCGGGTTCAGAGCTGGGAACGCTTTCTGCCCACATTCCGCCACAAGCACCTGTCCAAGCGCAAGCAGCCCAAGAAGAAGAGCGTGAAGAAGGAGTACACGCCGTTCCCTCCGCCACAGCCCGACAGCCAGGTCAGCACAGCTACATGTCTCTAATACTACCTCAGCAGTGTGTAAGGAGAACTTTAACCATGCTGTAAACCAAAACCACCACAGGCATTATAAAAGTCAAGATGATCAAAATCTGAAGATGGAATTCATTCAACTTGATAGAAAAATCCTGTTATCGCTGAAACACATTGTAACATTTGTTTCTTCTTTCTAGGTTGACAAAGAGCTGGCCACAGGAGAATTCTTCTTGCGTGAGAGCGTGAAAAAGAGGAAGAAGATGGAGGAAATTAAGGTGAGCGCTTACAAATCCGTTCACACACCGGAGACGACCGCAACGAAGTCCAGCCGTCCTCCAGCTGGGGTTTTCCAAACTTAACACTCAATCAGCTCTGAGTATGAAGGCTCTGAATGGAGGTCCGGCCCACGAGTATTAAAAAGGCTTCACAGTATCAAGGGGAGAAAGAGAAAAGTTGCCAGAGAGAAAGTTTCTGAGTTCACAGAGGACATTACCATGGTTACTGAGTCAGACTTTTAGGGATGTGACGCAACTTTTTTAAGTTTTCACTAAAGCCAGTTTCTCGAATGCACCGTAGCCAATCACCGTGTTGCCTTCACTGACACTAGTTTAGCATGATCTAATTCTAGGTTACATTCTAAACCTGTGAACTTCTGCCCTTAACCACTGAAGAATGAAATTAGATTGTGAGAAGTGACTGTCATTGTTCCTCTTTCTCAGGTCAAACAAGCAGAGGCGCTGACTAAGAAGCAGGAAGAACGGAACAAAGCTTTCATTCCTCCGAAAGAGAAACCCTTGATGAAGAAGACCACTAAAGGTAGAACCGCAGAAACAAGCCTTTATCTTATTTATCTGAAACCGATGGTTTGACTAACCCGTGTTCTGACTGTGTCACAGCTCCTACAGATGGTAAGCTGGACATCAATGCCATCAAGGACAAAGTACGAAAAGCGAAAACCAAGAGGCTGGGCGCTCCACCAGTGAGCCCGGCTCCTCCGCCCACAGACAAGAAGAAAAAGGGCAAATCGAAAAGCAAAGGCTAATCCCAGGCCAACCGCTCCTCTGTCGTTACATACGCGACGTGACGCGTGTTGGACGGAGCGTGGACTCACACAGAGAGGATGGGACGTCAGACGTGTCCATTTAAACACACAGACTGTCCCAGGTGTTTTATTGAACTATGTTGATGAATTTGTTCCTGTATATTCTCTCTCTGAAGACCAAGTGTCTCCCTCCTGTCCCACCCCCATGTTGTCTTCTAGTGATCACAATTGTCCAGATTTTGTCAGGTCAGTATTTAAATATGGAAAAATATATTTTCTCTTTAATAAAGACTGGCGTGTGTGTACAGGAGCCAGAACCAGACAGAGAAACGTGCCTCTTATTTTTAAGCCTCTGCGCTGGAGACAGCCAGTGGCCAGAGACATGTCTTTATGTTATCAGTCCCTGTGGACATTTCATTTTACTGAACTCTATCACAGGATCGCTTGAGGGAATTTCCTCAGATTTGGTACAAATGTTCACGTGGACTCAGTGATGACCTGATATGATTTTGGAGGTCAAAGGTATGATGATGTTCTTGTAAGCTTTTTAAATCAGGAGCAGCCATTGAGGAATTTCTTTACATCTGGCACCAACATTCTTATGAATCTGGAAATAAATTCTGTGGTTAACTGAACTGGTTGGTGGAGACATGTTTATGTTTGATTCTCTCTGTCAGAGTGAAGCGCAAAGACCAATGTCGTCACCAGAAGGAGTTACACATAAAAAGAGTATTTATCTTCAATTATGAAGAATCACAAAGACTTTAGATCCATGCACTATATTTATTTACACACCTTGTTTGGTACATATTCACAAGGAAGATTGGGGGTGGGAGGGTAAAGGGGTGTGACTGGGGGGTGGATAAAGGGTAGACGGGGGAAAGGAGGAGTGGGGATTGGGTGAGGAAAGAAAGGGTAAGGTGAGGCGTTATGTTTTTGGGTTATACGTACAGACGTTCACTATAAGTCGTCAAAGGTCAAAAAGTCACAGAGGCCTCAAACATGTTCTTGTCCTCTTGAATGTGATTTCTCAGGACCGCCCTGAGGGAAGTTCTTCATCACTTATCACAGGAACTCAACCACAGTGCTGTGCGGACTCGTGAGTACAGTTTATGCAGAGCTCTGTCTGGACTTCAAAATCAATCTATCAACAAACAGGGTCTAATTAAATTCACATCTTCATCTAAACGCTGTCTGAATCTGATTTCAATGTTGTTCAGGTTGAAACGGGGAAATCTACTCATAGCAGAAGATGTCAGGGTAGAGGGAGCGGACTGCAAATGCTGTGATGAAGGTGAGGAGGAGGCCGACGGGCCGGGCGATCAGAATATGCCCGTAGTGAGAGTCAGCAGCAGCCAAGTCAGGCTGTCCATCTGGGCTCCCGCTGTCGCCTGGAAACGCTGCGGAAGAGTCGGCTCCATATAGTTACATCAACATACAGTAACATGACAAATGAAGTGCACATAGTACTGCTGCACTGTTCGACACCAGTGCTACATTTTAAACACAGTATAATAGTTTTGGAACTCGTCTCCATGCAGTTTTAACCCTCTTCACAGAAGTTCCTCTTCCACGCCTTTTTCAGCCTTTTAAAAAGTGACTTGTTGGAGGTCGAATGGTTTTAAAAGGTTTGGGTTGTGACTTTTCCACAGGTCACCTCAAAAAAAGAAATACAAATGCCCCCAAAAAGTGTTTTTTTAGACAAAATATAAAGGACAGGACGGAGTATTTGCAACACAAACAGGACTGAGTACTCACGGCAGAGACGGTCCACACAGGAGTCTGCACATCCAGAGCAGGCTGCACCTCCAGATGTATACGGTTGCGCTGAGTTCATGTTACCCCTGCACAAGGCACCATCATCAAAGGTCAATCACTTTCACATATAGTATAGTAGTTTGCTCAAAACTGTCCTCATCTCTTTATTGTTGGTTTGCCATCATTTCTGAATCTGTGTGTTTGGAGATGTGGTAACAACATGTTAGAGTAAGGACATTTTGGCCTCTCCTCATTTTCAAATATCCGACTGAGGGTTAAGACTAGCTTCAAGGGTTAGGGGGATAATTAGGGGTAGAGTTAGGCATGCAGTTCTTATGGGGCTACAGAATACTGTGTGTGTGTGTGTGTGTGTGTGTGTGTTACTAGTGACACTCAACGCTCAACTTACGCTTCACCATAGTTGCAGACAAAAACAACACCCTCCATGGAATTAAAGCCAGCGACACCACCAGGACACAGATGCGCGGCACAACCGACCTTGTAGGTGCTTCCCCACACGACCTGGACACAACAACATGGTAACATTGTACACTGCAGACTAAATGCAGATATAAGGTTCCTCTTATGTTTAAAGTCCCTGGCCTCTGTAGTGGTTTGTGACTTTAAACACAAATTGGGAAACACAGAATAAGCAAATTATTATTTTGGACTGTGGTGCACGTACCTGTGTATAGTGTCCACACACTTTACTGCATTTGTTCTCCTGGTAGTTGTAGTGTTCCTTTTCATCCACCCATTTTTTTATGGCTAACGTCACATCAAATAAGGAGGGTGAGCCTGTCCATATGTTCTCCCCAATAGGGGAGAAGTTGGGGTGCAGACTGGGAACATCTTTGAGTTGGGGGTTGTGTTCAAACTTGCAGTGTCCTGCCCATGTCTTCGCAATGATGGCCAAATCCTTGTCCCATGTCTGGATCAGCAGAGACAGAAAATATCAGGCAGCTGTCCCTCATCCTGAAAAGCTCCTTTTCTTATGTTATTCAGATTAAACAATTCAAATTAACATGATTTTACTGCTGCACGGGGGGGTCTAGAAAAATTCACAGGGTGGCATTTATTTAACTTAATTTCAATTTAATCATGAATATTAGAGATATTTGTGGGGAAAAGTCCCCCTCCCCTGTTTTACTAAAAGAACATTGCATGGTGGATGAGTAAAGTATTAGATAGAGTAAGCTGAAGGTGGTATATCAATATCAAATTGATTCTTCTGATATTTTTCCAAATACGTCTTTTTTCACTTCACCTAAACTGTGACAGCGCTGCATACCGCCCACTTCCCCGTGGTGAGAAAGTGTCTGCTTCACCTACCATGTACAGCATGTCATTTGCAGGTGGGCTGACAGACGACCGTGCACTGTTGTGCTCCCTCACACAGTCCTCGATGAACCTGCCGTCGGTTGTTTCCGGCAGCGAGACTGCAGACGCCCCAGAGTCCAGGAGGACCCAGACCCACAGCGACACGAGCCCCACCGTGCTCGTCATGCTTCAAAAGATCAAACTACCACGAGCGAAGGCACAGAATTTGCAAACTGTCACAGGAAATTGCACTGTGGGGAGGAAGAGGATGTAAGAGATGTTCTGAGAGGAAGCATGTCAACATATGTCATCGTTAACCCATGCATTTCAAAACGTGTGATACACCTCGGGCCTTTTTCACATCATGTGCACAATGAAGTCGTTAAATTCAGTGTATGTGAATCAGAAATGACACATTAGGCAGAGAAACAGTGGAATATTGATTGCATGCTAAATTATTATTATTTGAGTTGATTGTCTCTTGTACAGTTGAAGGTCTTCAGCACTAGTTTGATGATGCGTTGCCAACCACCAGCAGATGTTAGTGACATATCATCAGCCTTTTCATTGGAAGACCCCCTCCTCCAGGGCAGGCCCACCACAGCCGGATCACACTTCAGTATGTGTATCAGCTCAGTATTTGATTTTTTTAAGCCAACCTCTGTGCTTGCCTCTGCACTCTTTCACTTTCACATGCATTTTAAATGTTAATTATTCACTTTCACTGTCCAACTCCCAAATATATTTCAGAATTATCAAGGTGGTATGTGTCCTCCAGACCTGGCACATCTGCAGATGGATCCCTGCTGGTTACCCCCAGGTCACAGTTTGTGATGAAGGGAGGTCGAGCTTCGCTGCACGGAGAATCTCCTGCTGTCTTCTCACGTGAGCTCACTGGAGTGAGGGGGCCGGCAGGAGACACCGCAGAGACTCGCAGCCGGACATTTGGCTTCTTGCATACAACCCCTCCAAAGAATGTCAGGAGATCATCCAAAGTTCAGAGCATGTCTGAAAGCAGCAAAAGGGTGTGTGGTCGTTGCTCCTCTCCTCCAGGTGGAGGCAGTGTAGAACCATCAAACTGTTGTGGTTTTAACATGGACATAAGATTAAAACACTGAGTGTGAGTATCATATAAAGACAATATTTGACTGTGTGTGTGTGTGTCTCTCTCTCTCTCCATCAATATAAAGAGTCTGGGTCTCGCTATGTGACTCAGGCTGAGCTGCAGCGTCTATTCTCAGGTGTGATCCCACCACTGAGCGGTACGGGGGCTTTGACCTGCTCCGTCTCCGGCCTGGGCCGATGCACCCCTCCTCAGGCGACCTGGTGGTCCCGGGCTCCCCCAGAACAACCATACCGATACCGAGCTTGGTGCGGACACCCGATCAGCACAGTCCGCTGCAGCTCAGAGCTCCAGAGCTCCACCGATCCTCCAGACTCAGCCTCCCGGACACTTGGATTACAGATGCGCGCCACCGCACCCGGCGAACAGCTGCTTCACCCAGAGAGGTGGAGAGGTGCTGCTGCACTGTGACGTCAGCAGCAGCCACGCTGCTGCGCCATAATAATAATAAATATGATAATAATAATATCTATATGTATGTCTTATATTTGATTCTAATATATATATATATATATATATATATATATATATAAATGTATAAATATAGATATTATAGCATGGCCGCTGCTGACTCACAGTGCAGCAGCACCTCTCTACCTCTCTGGGTGAAGTAGCTGTTCGCCGGGTGCGGTGGCGCGCATCTGTAATCCAAGTGTCCGGGAGGCTGAGTCTGGAGGATCGGAGCTCAGCTCAGCCAGGGCGAGGGCTCAGCAGGGCGAGGGCTCAGGCAGGGCCAGGGCTCAGCAGGGCCCAGCAGGGCGAGGACCCAGCAAGGGCCCAGCAGGGTGAACTCAGCTCAGCAAGGGCCAGCAGAGTGAGGACCCAGCGAGGGCCCAGCAGAGTGACCTCAGCTCAGCGAGGGCCCAGCCGGGCGAGGACCCAGCGAGAGCCCAGCAGGGCGAGCTCAGCTCAGCGAGGGCCCAGCAGAGCGAGCTCAGCTCAGTGAGGGCCCAGCAGGGCAAGCTCAGCTCAGCAAGAGCAAGCTCAACCCAGCAAGGGCGAGACCCAGACTCCTTATATTGATGGAGACACACACAGTTAAATATTGTCTTTATATGACACAACAACTCACACTCACTGTGTTTTTATCTGATTTCCATGTTAAAACCACAACTGTTTGATGGTTCTACACTGCCTTCACCTGGAGGAGAGGAGCAATGACCACACACACGGGGTAAACCTTTCAGCTGCTGAAATCTGACCCTCACATTTTTGTCTTGGGATATAAATACACTCAACAACGTGCTGTGTGTAATGAACCATACACAATGTATATAGTAGAGAAGTGAGTGTAAATCTGTGAAATATGTTTTACTATCTTGTTTTGTTCATTTATAGTTATAGTGCCTGTTTGTGACTAGATATGCCTTTCATATATTTGTTTCCTTATTAATCAAATGTATTTATTTTCATCACAACCAGAACACTTGAATTTATCTGGGCAGCTTTTAAACTGGGACTTACCTTTTTATTTATTCATGCTTAATAATAGATATTTGAAAACGGCCAAGGAAAACCCAGTGTTAGTAGAGCGAGAACATTTATTTCAACATTCAGCTTACCCAGTGGAGACATAATCATATATGTTGACCATTTCTTTTTGGATTTTGAAATAAAATACAGATTTATAAAAGTATCTTTTATGCACTTTTGCAGTGCAGGCCCTCAAAGTCGGTTTTATCTTCCCTAGAGTTCACTAAATAAAGATTATATGGCACTCATGTTACACCAGTATTCACATGGGTGTGAACAAAACCACACAAGCATAACAGCTAACATTAGAGAACATTAACAGATCCCACTGCTTCCTGGAAAACCTCATGGGTCCATCTCACTCCAGCAAAAATGCATGTTTGTTCCTCTGCCTTCTGGAAAGAATCATAGAATACACACCTCATTTTCATCTTTATATCTGCAACTACTGGGCAAAATACCTCATATACTCGTGTATACAGTATAAAGCTAGCGCAACAGTAAAATACTGCTTATATGTTGATGCATAACATTTTATCAGTCATAGGGGGTATTTTTGTAAGATCATTTTACTGACAATATTAATGTAGAACTGTTACTTGAAATGTATTTATTTATTTTTTTATTAAAGGGTTCAGCAGCTCGTGGTGAGGTTGCTTGTTGAACTGAAACCCTTCATCTCGCTCCTCTCAAAGTGTGAGTGAACCTTTGATGGCCTTCAGGTAACTTGAAAACATGAAAGGCCCTCTCTAGAGCCACAGTTAGTTTTTTTCACTCCTGGACTTCTGCAGAAACACGGCGATGAAACACCTAAGAAATAATGAGAGGTACTCATTAAAGTTGTCCCACCCAGGGCCAGGGGCCAGGGGGGGCACTGGCCCAAGCTAAAATCTGATTAGCCCTTGCAGTGCCTCTGTCCTTTCTGTGATTCTTTTTAAATAAAGTAATTACTTCATTTAATTTCTTCAAATCTGATGACAACATCGAATCTACATGGGGCTGATCCTGTGGTGGGGCAATGAGCTCAAATCTGATTGGCCCCTGAAGTGCCCCTGTCCTATCAGTTCTCTTTAAAAACACACAACCATAAATATTGCAATTTGTTAAAAACATTTCTAAGTTTTTCAGAAGTACACAATGTGTTTAAAACAAGGAACAATTATATATATATTATATAATATATATATAAATATATTCACTGATGTGTAGTTTTGCTCAAAGCTTGCTGACAGTAAACAATGAATGAACTTACCAAATGAGGAATTATGTGTGGATGTAGGACATATCTATTGTATTTTGTGAAGCTATTTGTAACCTTGATTAGATAAGTGCGATATAAATAAAGTTATTATTATAATAATAATGATAATTATTATTATTATAAAGTTGGCCCCTCTGTTCCCCTCACTTCCTGTGTGACTAATTAAAGATTTAAAAATATGAAAAACACAAAAAGCAGCATGTTAAAACAAATCTGTCTCAGGCCAGTTTATTTTTTTTCGTGAAGGCTTTTATTGTGAAACGTCTTCCTCCCGGAAGTGTTCCTGGTGGCAGCAGAGTGGAGCTCAGCTGTTCTGGGACCAGCAGTGTGCTGTTACTCCTCTAATGGCGCCTTGTGTCCACTGTGTCTCCTCCTAGCTACACCCTCGCCGCCTCCTGCTCCCCCCTCGCCGCCTCCTCCTCCCGCAGCGGGCCGCAGTGAGCGCTTCTCGGCGGCTGTGCTCGGCCGTCGTGTGCAGGATGGTGGTGTCCACATCCCAACAAGTCGCCCTGGCTTTCACCGCCGTGCTCTTCACCTTCGTCGTCCTGCCGAGGATGTTCGGCGTCGGCAGCGGGACCGCGGCCAAAGACACGAGGTTCGATTCCCGCTACTCCAGGAAAGGTGAGAAGGAGAGATCGCACAGCGACACGGTGCCTCCGGGCTCCCCCGATCTCTATCACATGAGCTGCAGCCTGCACCGACTAGTTGAACACTAGTCACACCGGAGGACTGCACAGTTTGTGGGTTCAGTTGTGTGATGGTGCTCTCAGGTTCGTGGGATTCGAACCCGTGAGCAGCCATCAAAGGTTCGATTCACTGTAGAACTCAAGCCACACAGGAAACACTCACATCTGTCCCTTTAACAAGTCAGCGTCCACATTCAGTGGCGGATCTAGGATTTTTCGAACCCAGGGGCTTCACGTGTTGTTCTGCCAAACAGACGATATGGCAGAAATGTTAATCTTTCATTGATTTGGAGAATAGCTCGTAGGTTAACAATTGATCCATTGGAAAAGTGAGGGACACGAAAATTAAAACGTCCTCCCTGAGGAGAGAAGGCTACAGAGTCAGGGAGTTTTTATTGTTTTCTTTTCACTTTTTAATTTACTCCTTCAGTGACATTTAACTTGAACACTACCTTGTTTCCAACCGCCTAAACGTGGTTGCCTGGCCTCCTTTTCAAATCGCTTCCTGCTCACTGTTGTTTCTCTTATATTTAGTTTTCTTGCTTTACTGCCAAAGCACTTTGTAAACTCCTGTTTTTAAAAAGTGCTATATAAATATGGATGTATTTATTGTATAATATGTATTGACAGCAGATTGATGACTGGCTTTTTAAATCCCCAGAACCACAATGAAACTTTTTGGTTCAGTTGGTTTGCATGAAATAATAATTATAATAATAATAGTAATAATACCTTGAATTCATATAACGCCTTTCAAGAGACCCAAGGACGCTTTACATGTGTCCGTGGGGACAAAAAAGAAAAGAAAAGAATTCACACAAAACAGGACAGAAATGAAAACAGCACTAATGTCAGGGTGCGTTAACTGAGGCCCTAGTGAACAGGTGGTGTTTGAGGAGTTTTTTTTGAAGCCGTCCAGAGATGCAGGGGAGGGAGTTCCAGAGGGTGGGTGCTGCGACACAGAAGGCTCTGTCTCCCAAGGTTCACAGTTTGGTGTTGGGGATGGAGAGCGATCCTGAGTTGGAGGACCGCAGCCTTCCGAGCGGACTGTCGGGGTGGAGGAGGTCAGATAGATATGGTGGGGTTAGGGAGTGGAGGGATGTAGAGGTGAGATGGAGGGGACTGGAGTCGATGAGGGCCTTGCTCGGGAGCCAGTGGAGGTGAATGAGGGTCGGGGTGATGTGCTGCCAGGGCTCAGTGCGGGTTCAAACAAACAAACAAACCAAATAAGTAGTGTAAGCTCCAAAAGTGGAAATTGACCCAACTCCCTGTATGAGAGGAAAACAAAAACCAGTATGATATGATATTAACAATTCTTGGGAGCTTTGATTTTGAATTCTGTCAAATTAAACCTAGTTCAGAAGCGAATTCTGACTTTTCCGAGACACCCTCACTCGAATTAATGCAACCATGTTTTTACTTCTCTGGCAGCAGGTCCGGGTCCAGGCGGAGTCCGAGGTCAGCCCATCAACGTGAACGGCCCCGGCGCTCCTCAGACCGCTGAGAACGTGCAGCAGATGAAGAAGCTGATGGAGCAGGAGCTGAAAACGGACAAGTTCAAGTCCAACAACAACAACAAGGGCTACGTGTTCACACTGATGCCTCTGTACGCCATCGGAGTCGGAGTGTTTGCAGCCTACAAGTTTCTGAAGGTGAGATAGAGAAACGGTGACCGATGCTCTGTAGCAGCGGCAGCTCAACGCGGATTAAAGGGAGATGAAATATCTGTGTCACCTCTAAAGGGTTTAAAAAAATAAGATTTAATTTAAGCAGGTTATGCTGTAAAAATAGCCAAATTTGCATTTAATTTTCTCAGTAATTCTGTGGTAAAATCTTCTGAAACGTGACACGCTAACAGTGCGGGTCACCATGAAGAAGAGTGGGGGGAAATATCTGTGTCACCTCTCAGGATTCTGCACAGAGAGTTTAGCTTCACTGAACTTCAGGGTTCTGAGGACTGAGTCCGGCAGCAGGTCTTTACCTGCCACCGCTCAATTACTGCAGGTGACTCTTACAGTTTCAGAAAGGAAACTGCAACCAGCATCGCCACAGACCAAGTAAACAGCCCATTCTACACAGCCAGGTTTAGAACGCGCACTGCCCTAGTGTAGAGCAGTTCTAACTTTGACAATCAATTGTTGCATAACATGCATCAATCAATCGTTCTTTTCACCCGACAGATCAAGTCGGCAGACGACCAGGCACAAAGAGACAAATTATCAAAAGGGGCCAAAAAATCAGTGGAGGCAGGTGTGTATCGCGTGTATTCTGATTTTCTATTTGCATATATGAGTTTGTTTTTTCTGTGGTCACACATATTTGGTTACCCTGCGAGATTTAGATGCACTTGTTTGCTTTTTAATGTGTAGAAAACCAGTTGAACGAGCTGGAACAAAGACTTGCGCAGACTGAGAGGATGCTCAACTCCATCCTCACACAGCTGGACCCGCTCACTAACTGGTGAGTGCTCAGCAGTGTCACGTGCTTCGCCCCGCAGGTGTACACACCACACCTCTATACTCTGTGTACATATCCATGATATATGATCCTTATTTACTGTGCTGCATCCTTTCTCCTTTAGCAGACATGCAATATAAACACTTTGAATTCACCTGCATGAGGGAAATAGGGATGGAGAACTTTATACTACTTTACTGATTCCTGTCATTATAATATCTCTCTCCTCCAGTTTAAGGCCATGCTCTTACTACAATGTTATTTTTTACTCCTCATCTCTGTGCAGTGTGAAGTCAGTGGCCCAGGAGCAGAAAAACGAGATCATGTCTCAACTACAAACCATCCGCTACCTGATGAAGAAGAGAGGCATGGACTGTCCACCGCTGAACATCAACGGTGGGCTCCTCATCTGTCTCTGTGTTCACACTGCAGCCCAATCAATCAACAACTATACACACTGACGATGTTTACACAGTCACCAATATTCAGACTATTGACGCTATTCAGACATTATTGCGATGTTTACATGAGTTGAGATGCGGCTAAAGTCACAATACGCATGTCTTAATATTGCTTATTCTGAGTATGATCTTATTCCCAGTAAGGTAATCAGAAAATTATTTACATTATTTGAGTTAATATGGAAAATATTGGCGTCCATGTCACTGTTGTGATCAGGCTGGACCTTTGTGTTCAGGCACCTCAAACCTGCAGTAACCAATATTTTCAGGTGCACATACAGTATGCTAACTGATTTTTACAGTGATGAGACAAAATGCAGCTTATATAGTGAATTACTGATAACACAGCCTCATGCCACAGTCACTCCCTGCAAATTTCATCAGTGTATTCTTTGTCCTGAAAACCACAATTTGAAATTCAACTTGCGCTGCGACACTGATCCATAACTCCAGACAAGTGTTTTGCATCCAGTTTTACACTTCATCTGCAAAAACCTCAGAGCACTGCCACAACAGTGTTTAAAATAAAGAAGGACAACCTGGTGCATGAGCGCGTGACATTTTTAATATCTTCGGTGCAGTAGGACCCGCATGTTTTCCATGAAGCCTGTGGTTTGATAACGTGACCATGTGTTTTTTAATCAGATTGGTTCATGCAGAGTCTCACAAGAGAAAATAAAAGGATGGGGTCGTGTCCCTATCTTTATTCAAGGTCATGGTCTTTCAGTTTCGGAGCAGGACTCATTGAGTTTTTGTAGTACTCTCACTCAAAACCAGGTGCACCTGCACTCAGATACATCCTGCTTGGGCCTCGATATTTGTGCTTTTGCCGCTTTGATCACGGTATAATGAAGACAATATTGAACTGAACAAACTATGAAATAATCACTGACCAGCCATTCAAAGATTTCCTGTCAGCTTTATCTCTAAAACAGCTACAGGAAGTTTATTGATGGTATCAGAGCTAGAAAAGTGGCAGTATATCAGAAAGATTCTGTGAATGAAATCAGTATGACCTGTTTTTACTGTTGCATGCAGCCTCTGCAGGAGGCACAGCTCCATTCTGTGAATTGAGACTCAGCTTTGATATCACTTGTTTTGACTCTTTCAGAGGCCTCCTGTGAGCGTAACCTGGATCACCTCATCGAGTCCCTTGGGGCCAATGACTTCTCTGCAGCGGATGCTTCGTTGAGGAAGAGTGAGGCCTCTGGAGCAGCAGAGACCTCGGAAAAAGACTATCAGAAGAACTCAGAAGCGAAAGATGAAGCTGCAACAGAAGGTGAAGAGATGAAGGAGCTTGTACCAGAGGAATCTGATGGGGAAGCAGAAAAAGGAGATATGTTGGAGGATGAGAAGGAGCAGGAGGAGGAGGTGGAAGAAGAAGAAGAGGAGGAAGAAGAAGAGGAGGAAGAAGAGCAGGAAGAAGGACTGGAGGACCGTGAGCTCATGCCTTCATTAGAGGACTCTTATGAGCCAAACACTGAGGAGGTGCCGTCTGCATCCGGCCTCAGGCGACGCAACAGGCCTGAATGACACGATGCGCGACTTCTGCACTGAATAGAAATGTAATAGGTTATTCTGAATATTTATTATCTGAAAGGCTTTCCTTCCAAAATGCTGTGTACTTATTCATCACAGACACATAAGGCATTAACAAGAAGCATTAACCTCATATCCTATATCATAGACATTGGGCTATATTTTCCTGCTATGGACACAAAGACAAGCACAAACTATAGATCTTGTACACACCACAAGGTATATGCAAGTGCATGTGCTATTTTTAGTTCTAAGCCTAGAGTGTGCTTCAATATCATGGTTTTCTATAGTATCAAACTAACCCAGTGATAGTTGGTTATAGATCTATGGGTGCATTGTGAACAGAAACGGCCAATTGTCAGCAGCCAGTTTGACAAAATGTTGAACTAAAATAACACAGCATATACAAACTTAACTCAAGCTGCACCAAATATCGCACACTCTTAGATAAAACTCCCTTAAATGTCCCTGTTTTTTTTAACCAAGATCCATGATTTATTCTTTAACAAATCATTGAAAATGATTAAAAAAAAAAACTATTTCTCAATGTTAAAGAAAGTCAAAAGAAGATCCTGGATGTATCCCCTGATCTGGATTTGCAACCAGAATGTAATGGATTCTTCCCTGACTCGTTCCACATCCTCCACAGAGTTTTGTGATGATCACTCTAGTTGTTTTTTTTTGCATAATCCTGCTAAATAATACAAGTTATGAAAATGTAGTGTTTGGTTTTAGGTGTCTGTGTCGTTTTTTTTAGTTTAGTTTTAATCACCTGCTGCAGAGCCTTCCCATCCTCATGCTGCTGTATCCATCTTTTCACAGTAATGAGGCTCAGATGGGCTCCACTGCTTGGGGATGCAGTTGCCCACAGAGACTTTGAAACTTTGGAAACATCTGCTCTAAGATATCAAAGCTACTGCTGAATCTAGAAATACCAGTTTATGTGTGGGGAAATAGTTTGTATCCCTCAGAAAAACCAATGCCTTGTGATGCCTCATTAGCAGGATGGGACTGCACCGTGTTGGCTGCACTGGGCACAAACATCCAGAAGAGCTGTAAATATCACAGGGTGTTTAACGATGGGGAAAACGCCAACATAGCTCCTTTTACTATTGCTTGTTGTTTTACTCTTTGTGCTCACATGAAAATAGAGCCCACTGTCCTGTAGTCTCCTGTTGTCAGTCATTTTATAATAATAATTATCACATTTTAAATCAGAATTACCATATTTATTTTTATCAGCACAGACATCGATTCAAGTTTTTAACCTGTCAGAAAAAGCCAAACATTTCAAAACATCTATTCTCCAGGTGGTGGTCCATGTTGTGTTGTTGCCACTTTGCATTTATAGTTCCTTTCTCCATGCATGCATCTCCCAACATTGCTGCATTTCATTCAGGTCCAGGTCCCTGCTGTTGTGCACGTTGACATGTCTCGCTGGGACAGTTCTATAGTTTTATAGTTGCATTTTAACCCCCAGGTTGCTATTGGACTAACAATCCAAGTGCCAGTGTTGTTTGTATGACGAAATGCATAGAAGTCTTAACATGAAAATGTACATGTCCTTTTCTATTTTGGATATATTCCATTTTTTCATCACAAAGGATGTAACGGTAATGCTGCTGGATGTGGTGAGCCCACTCAGCCTGCAGAATATTCAAATGTTTGTTTTAGACGTGTGAACTCGGGCTTGTGCCATGCTGTCGATACATCCAATCATATCTGTGCATGTTTTATTTTCTATCACTGTTTTTGCCTGCATAATGTTACTGCATGATATTTGTATTTACTCATCCAAAAAGAATATGACAATCATGTGATCAGCCAACAAACATGAATGCAACAAGAAAAGCAATCAGTTGTCACTTATGCCTTATGTTTCAGTTGCTCCTTTGAAATTGTCGTTTTAAATCCATTGGAGATTTTATCTTGATGAGGCTTTGAGGATGGTAACATCAACTGTTTTAGGTCCTGACAAGTGATGTTATTTATGCTAATGTCATGGAAATATGGCGGAATTAATCATAAACCTTTATGATGGATCATTTTTATATCACATGCCCTTGTTTGTTACAAAGTAGCCCTTCACAATAATACTCCCCTTTTTATTTAACTTTGCAGTTGATACTAGCCTGAATGCCGGTGTAGTAAATCGTGCTAAGATGTGGTAAAAATCACAATAAAATCATCTTAATAATTTTTGCCCAAACGCACATGTCCCTATAAATAGAATTTATTGTATAATACGATACTACCTACAAATCATTGCCTTATTCTGGATAAAATATTTAACCTGTACACCCATCCACACATAGTATGTTTGCCTCACTTTTCACTTCTGACACTTTTACATTCGGAAATGATCACCACATATTACCACAAATCTTTGCCTTAAATTATTTTGTACATTTCTGTCATTTCTTTCCCTTTAACCAAAGTCACCTTTCTGTTTTGAATATTGTACGTTTCCTGTCGGAGTTGGGTGAACAAATAATCTCAGCTTGTCTTAGTAGAAAATAAAACAACAAAAAAAGTTATGAAAGAGGTTTTCTTCAGTATCAAAGTAACCCAGTAATAGTTGGTTTTACATCCATGGGTATATTGTGAGCAGAAAAGCTTTATTTTACCATCTGTTCAATTATGTCAGTTTGACATAATGTAAAACTGGAATGAGAGCACACACCTCTGCCAAGGTCAAACAGTCCTGTCATATTCAATCAAGGTGTATCAAATGTCACACATTCACAGAATGTGCCTCATTTTTTCATCAAGATCCAATTATAACAATAATAATTCATTAGGTCATAAACGTTGAAGATCACTATGTTTAAGGAAATTAATAAAAATTCCTCCTCATCCGGATCCTCAACAAAATGTAATGTTTTTGTCCCTGACCTATATCACATCCTTCCACCAAGATTAGTGGTTTTTGTGTAATCCAAATAAAAAATTGGCCTCACATGCACAGCTTACATTCACTGACTGAGGGAGTGTGGTAAAAAGTAAAAAATAACCTCAGCTTGTGTCAGCAGAAAATAAAACTTAAATATTAGTGATATTGGTGTATATAAACATTGACATTTGAAAGCTATTATCTTAAGGTTCTCCTTTTAGCACTAAAGATGGTCTTAATACTAGTATTGGACATATTGTCTGCCAATACCTTTAAATCTTCTTCCTCCACTGTTGTCTGCTTATTTGTACTTTTATCATGTCAGTGATCAGTAGTAGGGGAAGTGACAGCATTTGAATAAAGGAATAGTTGTTCTATTTATTAATTTAAATTATTTTAATGTCAGAAAAAACCTGCTCAGGTGATGGATCAGAGCCATGCGGCGTTCACGTCATAAAGGAATTTCCATCACGCCTGCATCCATATCATCTATAAAATAACCCGGACATTGATTTTCTGACAGTTGCAAACATTGATGTAAATGTGAAGCGTGTGCTCAATCAAGACATCCAAACCCACCGTTAATCTCAATCCCCTGCAGAGTCTGCAGCATCGGACCGCGGGGCGCCGGAAACCGTGTGAGGTCAAGTGAACTCAACACACCAATAAACGTTCAGTGGGAGCAGCGAAACCATGTGGCTACCGTGTTAGCAACAGGTTAGCTTACAATGAGGTACACATATCCACGCAGAGCTGTTTGTAGCCACAAGATAAATGTAAGTTTGTATATTAATTTCCACGTAGCTCCTCATGTTTGTCTATATATAGTCGTGGTTGTAGATAAATGTCCACTCGTTAGCTAGTGGCTAACTTTGTTTGGTGTCGTTCAGGTGTCAGTGCCTCGTCCACCGTAACTTTCGCTGCCAACCCGATGCTCTGAGAAGAAAAAGACAAGGTAAGGTGTCTTTTATTCACCGTGTGTGTTCATGAGCCTTTAAACCAGAGAACTGTCCCATGCTAACATGTCGAGGAGCAGCTTCCTGAGCAGTGCTGGAGCACAGCAGACATTTTTCTCTCAACTTCACCATGGAAGTCTGACACACACCTAATTATCCTGCCATGTTCAATGCCATGCAGCCAGCATTCCCAATTCGCATGTGTTTATTTGAATTGTTTCCCATTGCAGGTCAGTTTTTGAACATTTTACAGACAACAGGCAAGATAATTGGCATTTAATATGGGGCAGAGGACTCCCTGCCTGGCACAAGATGTATTGCATCTCAATGGGTTCCTTCTGGTCAGATAAAGGCAAAATAGAACAATGTAAAGGAAAATAAAATGATCAGATATTATTTTTTTGGAAACATCTAACCTGCTAATACCACTTAAATCCATGATCCTATTAATTTTTGCTTTACCTCTACCTCTGTAACAATCTACATTTGTGCATCAGATATCATATCACAGACAGACAGATATCTATAAATATCAGACAGATTAAAAGGATGAAATATGTTTTATCCCCCCTTTTCAAGATTGTGAATAATACATGTGTATGATAATTTTAACAATGACTGCTTCTTTGATACACTCCGGGGCCTTCTAGTTATTCCCTTGCATAATGTGTACTGTGAAAAGGGTGTGAGGCAAGCAATATGATCACAGGAGAGTTCACAATCTAGAGAAAAGGTCTCATTCCTGTGCAAACATGTCTGTGTCAACACGGAGTTGTTGAGCCTTAAAATATCATTGCACGTTTGTCATGCTGCTTTGTAGGTGATGGTTGGATGATTGTTTGTGATATAATTCTATCATTAAGATTCATTTAATTCAACCATTGTTCTTCATGTGGAAGCATTCAAACCTCTTCCTTGCATCTGCAGAGTCAGAGTCAGCATGCAGTCAGTCCCTGAGGTGGATTCAAGCTACAGGCCGCACTGAAGCTCCCGTCATTACCTGCAGATGGTGCCAGAGGAACACAGATACAGCAAAGGCAGTAAGTTCAAATGTGGCTAAGGAATATTGTTCCCGTAGCGTATGTCAGCATAAGAAATCTTCAGTATTCATTTATTCTTGTTGGGAAAAACTACATATAAAAATAGATTAATTTAAGTCAGACAGAAAATCACTGAGGACTGAACATCAATGAGCAAGACCGATCAAACTGTAATACATGCTGCCGCCCTCATTAATTCCAATAAAGCTTAAGTATTTTGAAGACTTTTTCAAACTGTACTGGTGAAAAAAACCAACCCCTCTAATCATAACTTCTAATTGGACATACAGACTTTATAAATTACTTCCCCTCATGCAGCACAGGAAAAAGGTCTGGGATTCATCGCAAATTAGCTCAGCTCTCTGAACATTTAATCAGCTCAGTTTTCTTCCACTGAGATTTCTGCCTAATTCCATCCATGGGTCTGTGGTTGGCTGGATAATTTGTTTTTTGTTGTACTCCGTGGTTGTCATCTTAATTCCTTCCACCACTCCCTTCAGGGCGACACTGGACTTCTAATCATACCAAAAACATCCTCAGGGGTATGAAAGTGTTTGTATTTGTGTATGGACTCAAATGTTTAAATCACACTTAGCAGAGCTTTATCTGTTTTGATGCTCCTTAATCAATCTGATGACATGGCTGAGACTGTTAGCTGCACTAACTGCTTGTGTGGTGGACTTCTATCATCCATCCTACACCCCCAGACCCACATGTTACCAAACCATTACAATCTACAAATTATTATTTTTGTATCAAAATTATAAACAAAGTGCATTTTGTAAAATAACAGTGAAGTGCAAATCTCCATCCCAAGCACATGCACACATGCACATTTTGGCCCCTTTCCCATTGGTCACTGGCTTGCGTTGGCAATGGGAAATAATAAGGGGAAATATGCCATAATGCTGCAGTTTCAAATAGGGCTGGGCAAAAGAACGATAACAATAATTATCGCGATACAACACGAACAGAGAGAACATGAGAATAGCACTGCGCCGAACAAGTCACTTTGCTGGAATAGAGGCACATTAGTTTAGGTTGACGCACACAGCACAGTGTGAAGCCCATAGTCAGGACATCCGGGTTAAAGAGACCGGAACGATCCAGAGCTATTATCCGATTTCATCGAATTATAACTAAATATATGTGGTTATCAGGTCGTACAGTGAAGAGGGACAGAGACCAGCAGGCACACCCGCTCTCTCTCACACACACTCCTGCAGACAGAAGAGAAGTGCTTCCTGCAGTGTTTTAACTTCATTGTTGCAGAAGAAGTGACGCCCTGTTTATCCAAGAACATAAATATGAATTCAGCAGCTTTTTATAAAGATCAGTTCTATATGTGAGTGATTAGAAAACAGCAGATAATCACTTGTTGATGTGCGCAGAGTAAAGAGCCTGATATATATTGATATAGAC